TTACCAAACTTGTACTTTCATATCCAAGTCCTTCACACCCAGGCAAATCAATAAGCAACAAACCAAGTAAAATCTTGAAACCTACGAAGACCACAGCAAACTTGGATTTAGTAGTTAAAGAGAGAGAGTCTAGATGTTTGTATTGTATTCGGAACAGTCCATTGATCCAGGAGCAGGATCTGAGCCATTGTTCTACGACCAAAGCCAGCTCTCAATATTAAAGAGTGAGGGGCAACTGCTCCATGATCCCATACAACTGTAATAAATTGTAAAATTATTCAAATCTTCCTAAACCCTAACCTATGACACTGGGTATGGTTATGGAACATTCCTCATTATATGTTGAATTATTTAGTTATGAGGATTTGATCCTACTTGGCCCACTAAACAGTTGCACCCTGCCCCAGGTTCTGTCTTTTGAATTAAGGTGCCCAGTTTAAGTACTTTTCAGTACTTTTCAGGACTTAATACACTTGGCAGCCCAGGTAAGCTTGATATCTATAACAACAACTAATAATTTGGTATCCTTGACTTTAGAAATAGCCATACCATTGATGAATATTGATCTAGACTCATCTAGCGGGTGCCGGGTTATCAAATGGTCTGATTCATGTACAAATCTCATTATATTCAGAGGCAGGTTCAAAATGGATTTAACAAAATTTGGACATGTTGACATATGGAGTAGATTACATTTAAGGTAATTCAAGGCATGTTTAAGCGCCAAGTTGACTTTTTGGTATGTTGCTTATATTATATATACTTGTCCATGCACCACTCCGGGATGTATTAACATAAAATATCCACACAAGTGTTTTAGCCCTCCGGATGGATATAGATATACCGCACGGAGGTATATATCCACGTTCGGAAGCTTTTAGATCACAAGTTTATCTTTAGTAATTAATGTAATTGAATAAATATTATTGAATATGGTGAATTTCTCATGCTGTCAGGTCACGCAATTGTTTTTCCAAGACTTCCGGCCTACAAGCGTTTTAGAAAAGTATAGAAAGCCTGAGACGAAGCATTTTATTTGAAACCACCTATATTGTGAGACTGAAGATCGCATAAATTTGTGAAACCAACGAAGACCACAGCTGACAGCAAGCTTAGATTTAGTAGTTTGTAAGTTTGGAGAGAGAGTCTAGATGTTACTTACTTTGAGTACTTTGAGTAGGTTTGGCTGGGATCGCTTCAGGACAACAGTATCAAGTACGTCCTCCTATCACTCCACAGGGGTCTTTTTGTAAGTACCATTCCAAGAGTGAGTTGTTGTTAGTAGCGGTGTATCCTTTAGTCGGAGGTGTGTCGGGGAATTCTTTAAGGAATTTAGCCAGTGACGATTTTAACAGGTCCAAAGTAGAGATGGAATTAATTTCTTTGGGGAGAAGATTCCACAGCTGTGCCGCTTTCACTCCAAACGAGTTTTCATAGTGAGTTGCCACAGAACGCTGTGATTTGTTGTTCAGTGCTGGTACAGTAGCTTTTATTCCATGTCGGGGGTTGTTTTTGAACAGCATGCCAATATCATTTGGGGCCAGGCCATTGAGAATTTTCCATGTGTGGATCAAGATGTACCTTTCTCGACGTCTCTGCAATGATATGATATTGAGTTTCGTGAGACGTTCCCAGTAGTCTAAACCACTGCATCCGTTAATGCGTCGGGTAAATTGTCGTTGAACGTTTTCTATAGCCTCTATGTCCATGGTCTTGGCTGGATTCCAGACAGGGCAGCAATATTCTAGCTTACTCCGCACCATGGTTTTGAAGAGGGTAAGCATGAGAAATTGTGATCTATCTTTGAAGACGCTAAGAACCCAGGATGACATAGTGCTTGCTGATTGGATCATTTTCTGGATGTGGGGAGTCCAAGAGCAGTCGTTTGATAGAATCACCCCCAAGTCCCTGACAGTTTCTGCTGGCTCAATTATTTGACCTGTTGTAAGAGTGTAACTGAGCAGATCATTTGTAAATGGCAGATTTCGTAGCAGAAGAGAATTATTGAGTGTATAGTTGAGGATCTCAAATTTGGCTTCATTGAGCTGCATATTGTTTCTTCGAGCCCAGGCAATGACATTGAAGAGGTCTTCTTGTAGCGATGCTTTGGTGGCCAAGTCCAATATTTTACCGATGAGTTTAGTGTCATCAGCAAATATCTTTCCAAGAGAGGTAATCAGTGCGTCCAATTGGTCATCGATGTAGAGAATGAACAGAATCGGTCCCAACACTGTACCTTGTGGCACTCCACTTATCACCAGCTGGAAGGATGACTTAGTTCCTTCAACGACCACTGTCTGGAGACGGTTTGTTAGGAATTCGCTTAACCACTGAAGCATGTTTCCATGAATTCCGTAACGTTTTGCTTTTGCAAGTAGTATGTTGTGATCCACCTTATCGAACGCCTTGGCGTAATCGAGGTATATGACATCTACTTCTTCGCCACTGTTCAGGCTTTTCAATATGGTATCTACATGGTCTAAGAGTTGAGTTAGGCAGCTCCTCTTTTTGCGAAATCCATGTTGATGCGGTGAAAGGAAGTTATTCGCTTCCATATGTTCGACAAGGTTGTTTCGTATCACTCTTTCGAAGATCTTGATGATATGCGATGTTATAGAAACAGGGCGGTAGTTGGCAGCCTCTGTGCGGTCACCCTTCTTGTAGACAGGGGTAATAAACTGCGTTTTCATGCTAGGAGGGATTACTCCAGTTTCAAAAGAATCTTGCCAGAGTAGAAATATGGGCTCGGACAATGTCTCTCTACATTTGGTCAGGATCCTAGCAGGGATATCACCATCAGGGGTCGATGAATACGGGTCCAGTTCCTTGATGGCTTCTGAGATATCGTTAACTGAGAATTGCATTTGATCGAGTTCCTTAACTGGCACAGGGTTCAATCCAGCAAGGCTTTCCTCGATGTGGGCTTCATTTGGGTCACTAAATACTTTCACATATTGGGCCTGGAGGAGCTCGGCCTTTTCCTTGGGGTCAGTGTGCAGTCGACCTTCTCTATCTCTGATGGGGGAGACAGAAGATTTGACTTTCGCAAACTTCTTTGCGTAGCTGTAGAAGTAACGTGGATTTGTCTTTATGGTAGTGACAGCTTTAGCCTCGCGTTCGTTGAGCTCGTTGATGATCAGCTCACTTATTTCAAATGCCAAGAGGTCCACTTCATTTCTAAGCTTTGCAAGGACGGGGGACGTAGGGTTTCTTTGAGTAATGGCATTCATGCGGGCGTTGATCTTCCTCTTTTTCCTTTTAAGCGTATACTTTTTACGACAATGCTGGTTTCTGTGCACTGGGGAAGCACCTGGCTTATTATTGTATGGGGAATTGAGGAGAGTGACCTGGAGCACAGTTAAACGGATGAGTTCCAAGAAATTACTCCCATTCTCATCGTCTTCGCAGAGTCTTTTAAGTTCCTTCCAATCTATTGTTGCTAGAAGTTCATTCATAGCTTCAAAGTCAGCGTTGTGATAATTTACTGCTCGAAAAGAGTCTTTATCTACAACTTCAGTTGAGGTTTGCTTGGGGCTGAGAGGGTTGTGACCTAGTAAAAGCTCAACAAGTCTATGATCAGACAGCTGGGTCTCACACACGTTCGTCTCGATTACGTCTTGGGGCTTGTTGGTGAGTATCAAATCAATAATGTTGCTATCTCTAGTAGGTTCATGAATCATTTGACTGAGAAAGTTCTTGTTCATGAAGTCGAGTAGGCCTGAGCAGGCTCTTTGATCCGATTGGGTTTGACCGGCGAGGACACTTGAATACTCCCAGTCTATATGGGGGAGATTAAAGTCTCCCATTATGTAGAGGTCCGGTGTTCTGTTATCGGAGGTGAGGGCGTCTAGTTTCTTTTGGACTAGGTCCAGAATTTCTTTGAAAGATTCTGTTGGAGCGTCCGGTGGGCGGTAAATAACTACAGCTAATGTATTCATTGAGTCTATGAAACAGTAAAGCATGCTGCAGTGTTTGTCACTATAACTAAAACAGTCTGAAAATAATAGTGACTCCTCAATGTAGAGCAATGTAGAGCACACATGTTTGTATTGTATTCGGAACAGTCCATTGAACAAGGAGCAGGATCTGAGCCATTGATCTGTGACCTTCCATGACGATTAAAGCAGACCGTTTAAGGCATTTAATAGTTTATAGACCCCAACGGGGACGACAAACTGCATCTTTATGGTTATCATGCAAATGAAATACATGTTTCACTTGCCTCAAAGTAATACAGATCTTAGCACCAGCCACCAGCCACCAGACTAACAATAGTGAACTTCGCCTACTATTGTTAGTCTGAGATTTACCTGGGGATCTCATGCTTCAGTGTTCATTTAAAACACGAATGAGCGACGCCCAGTAAGCTAAGATCTGTGAAGGCTAATGGCCCTAGAATTGACCTTTGCGGTACACTAAATTTCACAGCTATTGTTTCTGATGGTACACTGTTAAACATAACATACTATACAGCTTATATTAGTATATTAGTATTAGTATAGTCAAATAGCTTTTCCATAAGGTAAGCGCTATGCCCCTAATACCTTAGGTGTTCAAGTTAATTAGAAAAATAACATGGTCGAGGGTGTTTGCTTCAGTCAATGAATATCCCTAGGAAGTGTTTGTTGCTAGCCAGCGTCCTTAGAATTAGATCAGTGAAGAGCATGTGTGGTAGAATGGTATTTTCTAAATCCAAACTCTGAGTCTGGCAGTACATGTTTAGATGTGAAGAAATTACAGAGCCATTTGTAAATGATTTTGATTTCTTCCAATGCTGGTAATATTGAAACACGCCGATAAATTTCAATACGTTCCTTATAATTATCTTTCTTGTAAGTAGGAATAACTTTACCAGTTTTTTGGGAATGTACCACTTTTGGTACATGACACATTCATTGTATACTGTATAGCCTAGCCAGGGTCCCAACAATGAGCTTTGCTGTATTTTTGACAACGATTATAGGTATTTCACTCGAGTTAACCCAAATTCTCGCCCCCAGCAAAGACTCATCAGAGCTGAGGAACGCCACAAGAAACCTCCAGTTGATAGCAGACGCGTTCGGAAGAATATGTCTAACCCTCTTCACCTGCGTCATGTTGTACCTTATATACAACTCTGTGAAGTCAGCCGGCAGCAAGGGTGGTGCCGGAGGATTGGGGGGCCTTCTTGGGGAGGACGCTAGTTTTGAGGTATGTTAAACTGGGGTTTGGGGGGCCTTCTTGGGGAGGACGCTAGTTTCGAGGTATGTTAAACTGGGGTTGGGGGGCCTTCTTGGGGAGGACGCTAGTTTCGAGGTATGTTAAACGGGGGTTAGGGGGCCTTCTTGGGGAGGACGCTAGTTTCGAGGTATGTTAAACTGGGGTTGGGGGGCCTTCTTGGGGAGGACGCTAGTTTCGAGGTATGTTAAACGGGGGTTAGGGGGCCTTCTTGGAGAGGACGCTAGTTTCGAGGTATGTTAAACTGGGGTTGGGGGGCCTTCTTGGGGAGGACGCTAGTTTCGAGGTATGTTAAACGGGGGTTAGGGGGCCTTCTTGGGGAGGACGCTAGTTTCGAGGTATGTTAAACGGGGGTTAGGGGGCCTTCTTGGGGAGGACGCTAGTTTCGAGGTATGTTAAACTGGGGTTGGGGGGCCTTCTTGGGGAGGACGCGAGTTTTGAGGTATGTTAAACGGGGGTTGGGGGGCCTTCTTGGGGAGGACGCTAGTTTCGAGGTATGTTAAACGGGGGTTAGGGGGCCTTCTTGGGGAGGACGCTAGTTTCGAGGTATGTTAAACTGGGGTTGGGGGGCCTTCTTGGGGAGGACGCTAGTTTCGAGGTATGTTAAACGGGGGTTAGGGGGCCTTCTTGGGGAGGACGCTAGTTTCGAGGTATGTTAAACGGGGGTTAGGGGGCCTTCTTGGGGAGGACGCTAGTTTCGAGGTATGTTAAACTGGGGTTGGGGGGCCTTCTTGGGGAGGACGCTAGTTTCGAGGTATGTTAAACGGGTGTTGGGGGGCCTTCTTGGAGAGGACGCTAGTTTCGAGGTATGTTAAACCAATCAGCTTCCAGCAGCTACCAATCAAATCTCTAAATCGTTGTCACGTGACAGGTAATGACGCCCGACTTGACTTTTGAGGACGTTGCTGGTAACGAACACGCTCTACAAGAAATGCAAGAACTTGTCGGTTATCTCACTAACCCTGCTAAATACATCGGTCAGTTAAAATCCTTCTATCTGTGGTTATTATTTAGTGATCGTTCTTACTTTCATTTTATCATATTATGCTAGTAAGTGAGTAAGTTTCCACTCTTAACAATTAAAATTGAGATAAACATCTAAAATTAAAAGAAGTAGTATCTAGATATGTAATTACAAATTAACAAAAACCTACCTTAACCGGAAGCCCCATCATTTATACTCATTAGCAACTAATTAGTAATTAGCAACTAATTAGCAACAACCCTGTCAGAGATGGGATGTGAGATCCCTAAAGGATACTTACTCTGTGGACCTCCCGGTGTTGGAAAGACCCTCATGGCTAAAGCACTGGCTGGTGAAGCCGGTGTTCCTTTCTACTACTCCTCCGGTAATTAAATAATTAATTAATTAATTAATTTCATCATACTGATTATATTATATATCGCTATTCCAATATTCTTGTTTTTAAACAAGAATATTTTTATAATTTCAAAATTATATTTGTCCGTTATGTGTAAAATCACAAAATGTTTCAAAGCAAGATAACGAGATAACCATTATATTATTTTCACAGGTTCAGGGTTTGAGGAGATATTTGTCGGGGTTGGAGCTGGAAGAGTTAGGAAAATGTTCGAGCAGGCTCAAGCCAACGCCCCTTCCATCATCTTCATAGATGAGATTGATTCTATCGGTATGTTTGGTACCCTTGGGGTATCCTTAATAAAGGAGTTACGCCAGCCTGGTATTTTCAAATTATTTACTGTCTACATTGTTCATAAAGAAGATTAAAAAATCATTAGCAGTCAGTTTTCCATTTTTTATGGCGCATTAACTTTGACTAAGTAATCCCTTCATCGCAGGTCAAAAACGAAAGATTAACGATCTAGGCTATTCAAATCGGGGCACTCTCAATCAGATGCTGTCTTGTATGGATGGTGAGTTGACTCCTACAAACACATGACACTTCTTTTTGCTCTTTTTAATAAAAGTGTATAGAACCCCCCCCCCCCCCCCCCCCCCCCCCTACATACATACTTGAGAATTCTGAGAAAAAATGATTTTCACGCTGAGTGAAGGACAGTGTAGGCACTCACTTTATTTCCCCCGGCCAGATTTTGAGAACTCAGTTAGTGTTACAACTCTCCTCAGGTTTTGAGAATAATAACGGGGTTATAGTAATAGCAGCTACTAACGAGCCGGACACATTGGACAGTGCGCTGACCAGGGAGGGACGTTTTGATACCAAGATATCAATCAGGGTACCCCCAATCAAGGTTAGTTCATGGTTACAACATGTCACGTACACTGTACAGTGACGTCATATTATCAGGTTATATGATATTAACAAGTGAAAGGCTTAACTGAGGTCCACAAACTTTAGATTGTGCATTGGCGACTTATACAAGTATTACTGGCCAAACTATCATCTTTCCCTCACTTTTCTCCTAAATTATATTAATAATTTAATTACCAAAAATCATACGTTCATAAATTTATACGTTCATAAAGCTACGATAAACAAAAATAATGACACCACGAGACATGACGTTACTCCAACTATTATAACGACTCAACTTATTTGTTACACCTCTGGAAGAGTAATGTTAACATCACCGCATCTTTACTAATCTACAACCGTTATTTCTAACGCCTCCCCTTGCTCAGGGACGGCTGGAGATACTGAAGGTTCACACCAGAAACAAAGTTCTAGCGGAGGATGTGGATCTTGAAAATATCGCCACGGCGTGTACTCAGATGACCGGGGCTCAGCTGGCTACCCTGGCTAATACTGCTGCTTTAAGGACTGTGCTAGAGGGCAGGGATGCTATAACTCAGGTGTGGTCACGTGATCAATAATATGGGTCACGTGAAAGATTGCAATATTATTACAATAATAATCAATGAAGATATATAATTATATTAAGAATGAGAAATTTTGATCATTAAAATCGTCCGAGCCTACATTTCTATACATTTTCAGAGAAGCACTTGTACTTGATTAACATGTCATTATTTTAACACTGAACCAAATTAATATTTAACTTATTTAAATAACACATTTAACTTAGGACGATTTTGAGTTCGCGCGAGCACGTCTGCTGATAGGCCACATAAACGAGGATATCGAGGTGTCAGACACCCAAATGTTGGACACCGCTGCCCACGAGGCTGGACATGCACTGTTAACTGTACTCAGAGAGGAGATAACTCAGAGACCTGTTTACATAACCACTATTCTTCCGAGAGGTAGGTTAACCACATAAAACCATTATCTCTAATACCACCAAAATCTTTTTTTTAAACAGTGATTATTAGTACCCATCTCGCTTCTCTCAAGCATCTCCAAGATAGAGAAATGCAAAGAATGTTCGCAAAGACATGGCCGTAACCAGTAATATATCATTTCTATAGGACGGTCACTTGGTCATGTACAACCAGTATCAAAAAGAGATCAACACACAGAGAACATTGCTTCGATGATCGCTCAGATTGATATCTGTATCGCTGGGCGTGTCGGGGAGGAGCTTCATCATAATTTTGTGAGCTAGGATTTTATTTTTGTGACTTTGATTTGATCCAGTGCTTCAATAGTGAAGAATATCCTTCCTAAAATTATTGTTTTTATTTCGAAAAGTTTTGATTTCATTTTTAGCAGAATAAAGATTTTACACCTGTTTATCGGATACTTACTTACCCATTTACAAATATCAGTGAAACTCTTAATAAATGAGTTCCGTCATTATGTAGCGACGTGTTAATTGTTTAAATATAGGCTCTCTGTGATCAATAAGTGATTTTCAGGTCAAGGGTAAAGTGTCTACTGGGTGTTCTAGTGATATGAAAATGGCAACTTCTTACGCTGAATTTCTGGTTAAGAAGTGCGGTTACAGCGACAGGATAGGTAACAACACAGCTATTAATTTTCCGAATTTTTGTGGTGATTTTAGGATCTCTTCTCCACTTTGATCAACTCATATTAGTTTATATTTGATTAACTGTTTTGCGTATAATGTATTGAAAGACATAGCAGAGAGTCTGAAGATGGATTTTACTACCGAACTGTTAGTGTTACCAAACAGTGAACATGTGATTTATTAAATGTTAGAAATACAGTTCTGTGTCTTTACAAACATCCAGCCTGCTGGCTTGCTTCAACCTCTATAGTTTTACGCCAGCTGTAATTTTTAAACTTCACTTTTCAGGCCTGATTAAAGCTAACGATGGTGATAAGAGTGACCTTACCGAGAAGGTTGTCCATGAAGAGATAAAGAAATTATTCGACGTAAGTAGTGGAATTTATAGAAGAATTAAAAAGTGGTTTTTGTAAAAGGATCGTTTATTAATGTTTTGTAAATTTGACGTTTCATAAAACCGGTGCTACGGCCCGGGTCAACCAATTGGTACACAAATTTGATGATATATCTACAATTTGATTGATTGATTTTCTAACAGCTCTCATATCCCAGGATCGATACCAGATCGTAAAATCAGACATGATGAAACACAAAAAAGAGTGGAAAGCGCTCACAGACATCCTCTACCGATACAAGACCTTGACAGGGGGAGAAGTAAAGAGGATTGTTAATGGTGGAGTCCCTGAAAGAGAACCTGGTGATTTACTGCCATCATCTTGATGATAATATTTGTTATAGGCCCAATTTTGTGGTTTTAGACTTGGCATTATTAGAGTTGCTGGAATTCTGGACTGTTGCTTGAGGAGATTTTTAAGTTATTATGGCGGGTGAAGAAATGTAAAATTGATTTCTCAGCGCAAAAGTGTTTAAAATTAGGGTAACGTAATTGCGCCTCAAATGTTTCTAATTTGAAATTTTGTGGTGACCCAAAGTTTCTATGAGAATTGTGGCCAGGATATTGTGATTAGGATTTTATTCAGCTTTTTTTATAACCTCCGTACCCTTTAAATTAATTGAGTTAATAAGTTAAATATCATGCTACTATTTAAAAATCCCGATGAATATAGAAAGTATTTTTGAATTACATAAAGATGATGTTCTGGCAATGTACTTATTTTATTTATACAAGGGCAAAATGAGTGAAAAATTTGTCAGAGAAACGACATCCGCTTATGGCTGATTATATTATATAATCTTTTGTCTTTAGGCTTGATTTAAGCTGGGCAGTCAAATAGTAAAGCTTAGATTAGGATCATGATCCACGGTGTCATGTAGGTTACGGTAGTTTTCGACATCTTTTAGATTATCTGCGCTCACGAGTTCGCATCAACTTTGTCATCTGTGGGATGTGCGCCGATTTCTCGCAGCGACACTGCCCCCAGAGATTGTCTGCCGACATCCTCGCACGTAAAATTCACTTATGTGAAATCGCATATTGTCAACTTACCTGGGGACCCCACTCCCCAGCCTATAATGTTCATAAACATAATAGTCATGGATCCGACGACATTCCCGTCTATATAACTTCCGCCCCGGGGTTTGAGACTTGGATAACCTCAAGGGACCCATTAGAAACAAATTTGGCTTGGGTAGAAATTTTGGCTATGGTGCAGTTTTGCGCAATTGACCACGCCCTTTTTTGGCGCTTTTGCAACTTTAGAATCAAAATAACTCCGCTTCTAATTGGAATCAGAAGCTCAGCTTGGCTTTAAAGTTGTTCAGAATCATCACATTTAGGGGGGTAGAGCATAATTTTAAAGTCAACAGACATCGGGTTGTTGAGTTATGTGACCACACCCTTATTTACCCTCGCGAGTCGTGATTTTCACACTAAATACGAGATATCTCGGCTTCTGATTGAGCTACGTGCTCATCCTGGGCATTAAAATGTTCAGAATCATCACATTGAGTAGGGTAGAGCACAATTTCAAAGTCCTCAGATGTCAGGTTGTTGAGTTATTAGGCCCCAACCTGTTTTTACGCTCTCGCGGGTAGCGATTGCAGCGCTTAAAATCAAAATAACTCAGCTTCCAATTGAAGTTAGGAGCAAAACTCGGGCAGCAAAATGTTCACAATCATCACATTGAGTAGGGTAGAACTTAGTTTCAAAGTCCTCAGACGTCAGGTTGTTGAGTTATTAGGCCCCGCCCAAATGTTTACGCTCTCGCGAGTCCCGATTCGACGTTTAAAATCAAAATAACTCTGCTTCTGATTAGAGTTAGGAACTAAACTTGAGCATAAAAATGTTCAGAATCATCACATTGAGTGGGGTAGAACGTAGTTTCAAAGTCCTCAGACGTCAGGTTGTTGAGTTATTAGGTCCCATCTTATTTGTATGCTCAGGCGAGTCGTGAGTCGACGCTTAAAATTAAAATAACTCTGCCTCTGATTGGAGTTAGCAAGTCAACTTGAACATACAAACTTTTAGGATTATTGAATTGAGTGGAGTAGAGCGTGGGTTCAAAGTCATTAGAGATCAGGCAGTTCAGGCTGTTGAGTCACTAATACTTCTATTTATGATCTCATGTATCGAGTTCTAATACTTCTATTTATGATCTCATGTATTGAGTTCTATTTTTCTATTTATGTTTGACGAACTTACGTCGACCTTATACGATAAATAATGTGATTATTCTTTCTTGTTCCTGGCCAAGATGAATTGCTCACAACTGCGATGGTAAAAGTAGTTTGAAAATTAAATTAATAACCAGAAAAAGTAAGTTTCGCCCAGAGCAAACAGTGAATACTCTCTAAATCCCGTACAACCACACTCTTTCCCACTCAATGTGATAATTCTGACCATTTTTATGTCCACGTTTAGTTCCTAACTCCAATCAGAAGCCTAGTTATTTTGATTTTAAGTGTCGACTTGCGAGAGCGTAAAAATAGGGTTCTGCCTAATAACTCAACAACCTGACGTCTGAAGACTTTGAAACCACGTTCTACCCCACTTAACATGATAATTCTGAACATTTCCATGCCCAATCTTTGTTCCTAACTCCAATCAGAAGCCGAGTTATTTTGATTTCAAGTGTCCACTCGCGACTCGCAAGAGCGTAAATACTATGGTGTGGGCCTAATAACTCAAGTTTGCTCAGTTTTGCTCCTAACTTCAATTGGAAGCTGAGTTATTTTGATTTTAAGCGCTGCAATCGCTACCCGCGAGAGCGTAAAAACAGGTTGGGGCCTAATAACTCAACAACCTGACGTCTGAAGACTTTGAAACCGAGTTCTACCCCACTTAATATGATAATTCTGAACATTTCCATGCCCAACTTTTGTTCCTAAAAACAGGTTGGGGCCTAATAACTCAACAACCTGACGTCTGAAGACTTTGAAACCGAGTTCTACCCCACTTAATATGATAATTCTGAACATTTCCATGCCCAACTTTTGTTCCTAACTCTAATCAGGAGCCGAGTTATTTTGATTTTAAGTGTCGACTCGCGACTCGCGAGAGCGTAAAAATAGGGTTCTGCCTAATAACTCAACAACCTGACGTCTGAAGACTTTGAAACCACGTTCTACCCCACTTAACATGATAATTCTGAACATTTCCATGCCCAATCTTTGTTCCTAACTCTAATCAGAAGCCGAGTTATTTTGATTTTAAGTGTCGACTCGCGAGAGCGTAAAAATAGGGTTCCGCCTAATAACTCAACAACCTGACGCCTGAGAACTTTGAAACCACGTTCTACCCCACTCAATGTGATAATTTTGAACATTTCCATGCCCAAGTTTAGTTCCTAACTCTAATCAGAAGCCGAGTTATTTTGATTTCAAGTGTCCACTCGCGACTCGCGAGAGCGTAAATACTATGGTGTGGGCCTAATAACTCAACAACCTGACGTCTGAGGACTTTGAAACTACGTTCTACCCCACTCAATGTGATGATTCTGAACATTTTTATGCCCAATTTTAGTTCCTAACTCTAATCAGAAGCAGAGTTATTTTGATTTTAAACGTCGAATCGGGACTCGCGAGAGCGTAAACATTTGGGCGGGGCCTAATAACTCAACAACCTGAAGTCTGAGGACTTTGAAACTACGTTCTACCCCACTCAATGTGATGATTGTGAACATTTTGCTGCCTGAGTTTTGCTCCTAACTTCAATTGGAAGCTGAGTTATTTTGATTTTAAGCGCTGCCATCGCTACCCGCGAGAGCGTAAAAACAGGTTGGGGCCTAATAACTCAACAACCTGACATCTGAGGACTTTGAAATTGTGCTCTACCCTACTCAATGTGATGAATCTGAACATTTTAATGCCCAGGATGAGCACGTAGCTCAATCAGAAGCCGAGATATCTCGTATTTAGTGTGAAAATCACGACTCGCGAGGGTAAATAAGGGTGTGGTCACATAACTCAACAACCCGATATCTGTCGACATTAAAATTATGCTCTACCCCCCTAAATGTGATGATTCTGAACGACTTTAAAGCCAAGCTGAGCTTCTAATTCCAATTAGAAGCGGATTTATTTTGATTCTAAAGTTGCAAAAGCGCCAAAAAAGGGCGTGGTCAATTGCGCAAAACTGCACCATAGCCAAAATTTCTACCCAAGCCAAATTTGTTTCTAATGGGTCCCTTGAGGTATTCCAAGTCTCAAACCCCGGGGCGGAAGTTATATAGACGGGAATGTCGTCAGATTCTTGACTATAATAAAGATTCAGCGGAATGACCGGCTGAGCGCGACCAGTAAATTGTCAACAAATCGCCCATTGTGCATGAATTTGAATGCTGATTAATATAATCGGAAAAACTGTTTTCAACTAAAAATAGCTTGTCCATAATTTAAGTGTCTCTCTCGCTCTTCATCGAGATAAATCCGGCATTAGTAGATCGATTGTTGTAATTGTATTTTAATTGGACAGATTATTTGATATTGATCCCAAAGTAAAATCTCACATCTGACATCGTGCTCCCTACTACTCTACTAATACCCATTTTCGGGTTTCCCATTTCTTAGTATTAACAGAATCTGTGAGTGTAACTGATGACGAAGAGGGTCTCGTTATTAACGTATTACCAACCAGTGAATAGTGACGAAAATGTGTTGACACATCCAAAAAATGATGACCCCACGTTATTACCGACCAGTGAATAGTGATGAAAATGTGTTAACACATTTCCAAAAAGTAATGACCCCACTCCAAATTTATGCACAACGTCCTTCACCTCAGTACAATCTTTTAGTAAAATTTATATCGGAGAGACGTGCAGGCAGCAGGAGGGCTCATGATAGGCTCAGGGAGCACCTAAGATATCCAAATTTATGATTTATGAACTAGACTGTTCACTGGAGAGCATGCGGCATTGCGCGCGACAAAGTGCGCGTTCGGCGTATGCGATTTCATCATATTTTTGAACAAAGTTCGCTAGTAATTCATCTGTTATCTTCTTGGTCGGGACGAATAAAGCGCACTTTGACATCCGTTATCACCTCTGTTACCCGGTTCTAAGAAATCAAACAAATAAATTAATAGCAGAAGAAACTTAAGTAAATATATACACGGAAAAATCATTCCTCAATTCTACTTAATATTTCAATAAACTAGCTACAAAATAATTGAGTAAACATGTTGTCAACTTAATGCTGGAATAGGAACTAGTTAAAATAAGTTGAGACTGTAAAGAATAATAAATACAGCTTAACCTAGATCCTCAATAATAAAAAGAGATGGCGTTTAACGTCCAGCAGATATTTTTTATTACCAGTTATCAGACGTAACGAGAAATCGTTCGATTAGAGATCAATATCAACCTCGACTCTCAGCTTGTCATTTTTCATTGAATAATATTTGATTGTTACTCGACATAATAAAAACATTTCTTGAAGTCCTGACGTCACACACTATAATGATGACGTAATTATGACATCATATCATTTAGAACATGAGAACATCTCTGTCGTTTAGGAGGTCTCTGTCGTCTCTGTAAGCACCACTGCTGCTGCCAAATCTTCCGCTGGTATTCGAACTCTAAAACAATTAATTTAATAAACTAACTAAATAAATAACTCATGTTCATAAAATAATTAGATAAATAGGATTTTCATAGGAACACTCTCGAAGGTACCGTGCCCGGGGATGAAGATCTGAATTTGAGACAATCGCCGGAATTTTGTTTAGACGGATCATAAACCAACTGGTCCATCTCTTCTCTGGGACAAGAAATACTGAACTTGCATTGCTTGATTGATTGAAAGCCCGTGTTTATTTTTTAAAGTTGATATTTTCACCTCACCCTTTAGAACCGCTCTGACATGGTTAGTAGTTAGTACCTGACACTTGTGTCAGTTGCTAACCATATAGGCGGTATACAAGCACATTATTTCATTTCATTTCAACTTACCAAAAGAAGTTCATTTTGTCGACTCTGAATGTTCTGAAGTTGTTGGAGTTGTTTCTGAAGGAGCTGTTGGTTCTTTGCTAATAGCTGGAGCTGTCTGACTTGTGTATTCTGGTCCTGGAGATATTATGAAGTTAAGAGAGATGAACATTGGAAAAGTTACATATTTGTTTATATTATGACCACCTTAATTAATTGTCCCAAGTCATAAAGAGAAAAAAACCTAATTTAATCCTTATTACAGTCTATTTAAGTTTTAGTACAGACAGATCCGTCTGAAAAAATCGATCTGCTGACACACGAAGCTTTCAGAGGATTTTTGACGTTTTTGAGTTCCATTAGGTGCCCTTTATGGCTGACCAACTTTTCCAAACTTTTCCACGTGTCTTAAGGCCACTTTTTGCCACTTTACCACTTTTTACCACCTTTCTTGTTTGTCGAATATCTTTAGTTGTGAACATCGTAAAAGGTTGCGAATCAATCGAGTGTGTTCATATTATCAGGAAGAAAAACTTTTGTTGAAACAATTTTTACGTCAGATAATAAGTTAATTGGATAATTATCAATTAACTAATTAGCAAAATTCTAAAAAATTTTTATTGGCTAAAAATGATCGGAATAGCTTGAAATACGGAGAAAAGTAGTTTTTAGAAAAAATTTGAAAATTTTTCACTCACATTTTTTTTTCGAGACTTAACAAAATTTCGAAAATTCAAAATATTTTTTTCCGCCAAAAGTGATCAAATTGCATGAAAAGCGGAGAAAAATGATTTTCAAAAAAAACTTAGTCAATTTTTCGTTTCAAGAATACTTAAATCACCAATATTTGTAGTTGGAGTTCAGTAAATCTCGGCAGATTTTAGTAATAATCAGGAATTACTAACTCTAAGTGGAAAGGTCTGAAACTGAAAAACGTTAAGTTTAACCATACGATCGCGATATAAGAGTTTCATAACTAATTACAATACAGCCTTATCGATTTTCACAGAAACTGCACCAATGGCACAGTCAAGATCGAAACGATAGCCTGCTGTACTGTCATTTTATTGATTTCAATGATGAATCAGTGGGGTTAAGATAATCACATATTTTGTAATAAATAAGACATCTCTGTACCGTCAATTGTGCTAATCTAAACCGGCTTACCTGTATTACCATTTACCAGACCTCTTCTTTTCCTCAACAATCAAACCGAGTTGTTCATATCGCATTTGGTGGGCGATGTAAGTAGTAATACATATCGAGCTATATTCAATCACAATACGACACAGTACGTGTATATTATATGGCTCTGAATGAGGTTTATGAAACGCTTTATACCGTGAGAAACTCGGTATAGAGAGGTTTTACAGTTTATCGCGAAAATGTCTACTTGGTCTCATGGCTCATTTACAGTTCGAAGAAGGGCAAGAACAGATCAGGGAAACTGAGGAACAGCCAGGTCCAGGAAGCAAGTGTAAATACACCTTCCAACATCTACTGTGACTGTTTTGTATTGTACTGCATACCGCTTCATTTGCGGGATACCTCAAATCACCCTCATATGTCAGGGTCGGCTAAAAGTAAAATCAACAAGGGTAACATACGGGAAAGGGTAAGATTTAAATACGAGTACAGTGTCGGGCAAGGGGTAGTAAAGAACCAGTAATAATTAATTCAGTGAAATGTTCCACGAGAGTCAGGATATTTTGGAAATTGCTAATAGAGACAGATCCTGATCAGGAAGGATTGTTAATGTTATTGAGGATGTTGATTTGAAATCCGGACGTCGTGAAGTAAAAATACAGGTTCTTCCCGCAGGATATTCGGGGCCCATGATGATCAGCTCGGGATTAATGTGGGACAGATCGAAGACTAACAACTGAACCCAATTGAACCTAGTTCCCACTAACCAATCAGCTTAATTGGTTAGGGTTAGGGTTAGGGTTAGGGTTAGAGTTAGGGTTAAATGTCTAAATTGGGTTCAGTTGTCCGGTAGCCCGCTCTTGCGAGTTGACATTCTAAGCTTTCTGGTCTTATCTTGCCTTCTTTGAGCTGTCAAAGAGCCATGAGACCAAGTAGACGTTTTCGTGATAAACTGTAAAACCTCTCCATATCGGGCCTCTCACGGGAGAAACGAGAAGTGTACGGTATAGAAGGTTTCATATACCTCATTAAGGGCCATAATATAATATACATGTGTTGCATTGTGTCGTATTGTGATTGAATATAGCTCGATATGTATTACTACTTACATCACCCACCAAATGCGATATGAACAACTCGGTTTGATTGTTGAGGAAAAGAAGAGGTCTGGTAAATGGTAATACAGGTAAGCCGGTTTAGATTAGCACAATTGACGGTACAGAGATGTCTTATTTATTACAAAATATGTGATTATCTTAACCCCACTGATTCATCATTGAAATCAATAAAATGACAGTACAGCAGGCTATCGTTTCGATCTTGACTGTGCCATTGGTGCAGTTTCTGTGAAAATCGATAAGGCTGTATTGTAATTAGTTATGAAACTCTTATATCGCGATCGTATGGTTAAACTTAACGTTTTTCAGTTTCAGACCTTTCCACTTAGAGTTAGTAATTCCTGATTATTACTAAAATCTGCCGAGATTTACTGAACTCCAACTACAAATATTGGTGATTTAAGTATTCTTGAAACGAAAAATTGACTAAGTTTTTTTTGAAAATCATTTTTCTCCGCTTTTCATGCAATTTGATCACTTTTGGCGGAAAAAAATATTTTGAATTTTCGAAATTTTTCTAAGTCTCGAAAAAAAATGTGAGTGAAAAATTTTCAAATTTTTTCTAAAAACTACTTTTCTCCGTGTTTCAAGCTATTCCGATCATTTTTAGCCAATAAAAATTTTTTAGAATTTTGCTAATTAGTTAATTGATAATTATCCAATTAACTTATTATCTGACGTAAAAATTGTTTCAACAAAAGTTTTTCTTCCTGATAATATGAACACACTCGATTGATTCGCAACCTTTTACGATGTTCACAACTAAAGATATTCGACAAACAAGAAAGGTGGTAAAAAGTGGTAAAGTGGCAAAAAGTGGCCTTAAGACACGTGGAAAAGTTTGGAAAAGTTGGTCAGCCATAAAGGGCACCTAATGGGACTCAAAAACGTCAAAAATCCTCTGAAAGCTTCGTGTGTCAGCAGATCGATTTTTTCAGACGGATCTGTCTGTACTATTTTACACGGTTGATAACCACTATACAAGTACCAAGTGTAGATAATTACCAAGTGTAGATAATAAGACACAGTTTCACTATTTGCATATTCTTTTCAACTCATCTCCAGTAAAACCCGGTTCAAATTGTATTTCTTAAACAAACATTCGTATAAACTTATCCTAACTCAGTGCATGATTATCACTTAATGACCTTCACTAATAGGGTAATTATAAATTAGTAAATTACCCTACCGACAGAGTAGTTGTTACCTAGTTATTATAATGGGTTACTAAATAGTAACGTTACCAAGGTGATATAAATTATAATGTAAAGAATTAAATCTATATTTAGACCTAAGTTTGTCTGATAAGACATGTAACTACACAATGATCACTAATTTGAGTGTACCATTGTCATTAAAGTCATTAATAGTCATTAGTAGTCATTAATAGTCACATTAGTCACTATAACAGTCTCGTTAAACAGTCTCGTTACAAGATAACTAGTCACATTACCGTAGAGGTGCAGTGTTTACTAGCTTCTAATGAGGAACACTCCATTCCAGGAATACCAGCGGAAGTATGTATAAACGTAGGTCTGCAGGGCGAGTGTTTATATATAAACAGTCTAGGAAGTATGTATAAACTACAGGTCCGCAGGGCGAGTGTTTATATATAAACAGTCTAGGAAGTATGTATAAACTACAGGTCCGCAGGGCGAGTGTTTATATATAAACAGTCTAGGAAGTATGTATAAACGTAAGTCCGCAGGGCGAGTGTTTATATATAAACAGTCTAGGAAGTATGTATAAACGTAAGTCCGAAGGGCGAGTGTTTATATATATTAGCGAGCTGCTGCGTTGTGAGATATTTAAAGTTTGGCGGTACCAAGAGTGCAGACATCAAGACGTTAAGACGAGGTAGCACTACAATTACATGTGTGTTACGTAACGTCTAGCTAGTGCACGTTATAGGTGTAGTGTTAGGATGAGGACTTCATGTGCTCAAGGTAGAACTTGACTTGTAATGAGTGCATTTCATTTTTATTCTCCCCCTTTTTTAACTTATTGGTACGTTCCAGCTAAGTTGCTAATTAGTTGCTAATTAGTACAGTACCGAAGTTACTTTAACACAGTAAATTGTTGCATGTATGTGTTAACAAAACAGGTTCACCCTGATACCTTATATCCCCGAGAACACAGAATTTGAAAACTAATCTACATTGTACCCTAAGGTCACTCTGTGTAATCTTATAAAGTAATCTTATCAGTTCTGAGGAATTAGATTCAGTTAATAAACTAACAGCTCCCCCTCTTATTGACGTCAGACAGTAGGGAGACAAATGATGTGAAATATAATGGTACACATCACATCTTAATTTAAGTAAGGAGTAATCTAACTCGACCAAATCTCAGCTCTTTAACGATGTTTGTATGTACTCGATCAAGGAGTCATATTTTAGGGCGTAGGATTACTAATTAGTACTGTTGGTAATGAGTAGGATTACGAATTGCTGTAGGATTACTAATTAGTAGTTAGTTTGTGAATTGTGGCATAATTATGTTATTACTTGGCCCACATCCAGAAACACGCCATCTTGCCAGGCAGCCTGGGAGGAATTTTTTTTGGGAGGAAAAACGGGAGAAAAAGAGGAAATTTTTGAGAAGTTACTCCTAAATTTCGAAATATTTTTTTGGAATAAAGACAAATTAATTGAGGAAATTTTTGAAGAAAATGTTTCGATTGTATAAAAATCAAAGAGGAACATCCTGTCAGTTTTGGAACACAGTGAAATATTCTGATTGGAGAATGCAGATTGCTGTTGTGAAGTTACCAAATTTACGTGAGTACTTGATTCTTTTCACTCCCAGTTTATTGCTGTCCTACAAATTTCTTTAATGCCAAATGTCGTCTAAAACACCCTATTTCGCAAAAATTTTCCGGGGGGCTGCGCCCCCCTAGCCCCCGCCAAGGGGCTCCGCCCCTGGACCCCGCTGGGGGCTGCGCCCCCATACCCCTGCCACAGCATGCTCGCTGCGCAGCTGGATTGGACAGCCCCCCAAAGAAAAATCCTGGCTACGTCCCTGCTCGTGAATTGGTCCAGTGTTAAAAATTTGCGAGTGAAACGAGCGGGCCACAGAAAAATAGGCAAACTTGCGAGCGGGCCACAGAATTTAGAAAAAAAACGCATCTGGGAGGAAATATGCGGATGTCGTTTCTCTGAGAGATTTTTCACTCAGTTTGCACTTGTAAAAATTAAAATATGTACATTGCAGACATCATCTTATGTAATCAAAACAACTTCCTTATTCATCAGGAGTTTTTAATAGTAGCATGATATTTACTTATTAACTCAATAAATTTAAAGGCTACCGAGGCTATAAAAACAAGCTGAATAAAATCCTAATCACAATATCCTGGCCACAATTCTCATAGAAACTTTGGGTCACCACAAATTTCAAATTAGAAAAGTTTGAGGCGCAATTAAATTACCCTAATTTTAAACACTTTTGCACTGGAATCCAAATTTACATTCTTCAGTCTTCCACCGCCATAATAAACTTAAAAATCTCCTCAAGAAACAGTCCGAATTCAAGCAACTTAATTATGCCAGGTCTAAAAACCACAAAATTGGGCCTATAACAAATATTATTATCATGATGATGGCAGTAAATCACCAGGTTCTCTTTCGGGTACTCCACAGTAAACAATCCGCTTTACTTCTCACCCTGTCAAGGTCTTGTATCGGTAGAGGATGTATGTGAGCGCTTTCCACTCTTTTTTGTGTTTCATCATGTCTGATTTTACAATCTGATATCGATCCTGGGATATGAGAGCTGTACTGTTAGAAAATTCAATCAATCAAATTGTAGATATAATCAAACAAATTTGTGTTACCAATTGGTTGACCGGGCCGTAGCACCGGTTCGATGAAACGCTCAAATTTACAAAACATTAATTTTAAAAAAACCACTTTTTAAATTTTTTATAAATTTCCCAAATACTTAGTCAAAAAATTTTTTCTTTATACTCTTCATGGACAACCTTCTCGGTAAGGTCGTTCTTATCACCATCGTTAGCTTTAATCAAGCCTGAAAAGTGGAGTTTAAAAATTACAGCTGGCGTAAAACCATAGAGGTTGAAGCAAGCCAGCAGGCTGGATGTTTGTAAAGGCACAGAACTGTATTTCTAACATTTAATAAATCACATCTTCACATCTTCACTGTTTGGTAACAGTTCGGTAGTAAAATCCATCTTCAGACTCTCTGCTATGTCTTTCAATACATTATACGCAAAACAGTTAATCAAATATAAATTAATATGAGTTGATCAAAGTGGAGAAGAGATCCTAAAATCACCACAAAAATTCAGAAAATTAATAGCTGTGTTGTTACCTATCCTGTCGCTGTAACCGCACTTCTTAACCAGAAATTCAGCGTAAGAAGTTGCCATTTTCATGTCACTAGAACACCCAGTAGACACTTTACCCTTGACCTGAAAATCAGTAATTGATCACAGAGAGCCTATATTTAAACAATTAACACGTCGCTACATAATGACGGAACTCATTTATTAAGAGTTTCACTGATATTTGTAAATGGGTAAGTAAGTATCCGATAAACAGGTGTAAAATCTTTATTCTGCTAAAAATGAAATCAAAACTTTTCGAAATAAAAACAATAATTTTAGGAAGGATATTCTTCACTATTGAAGCACTGGATCAAATCAAAGTCACAAAAATAAAATCCTAGCTCACAAAATTATGATGAAGCTCCTCCCCGACACGCCCAGCGATACAGATATCAATCTGAGCGATCATCGAAGCAATGTTCTCGGTGTGTTGATCTCTTTTTGATACTGGCTGTACATGGCCCAGTGACCGTCCTGTAGAAATGATACATTACTGGTTACGGCCACGTCTTTGCGAACATTCTTTGCAATTCTCTATCTTGGAGATGCTTGAGAGAAGCGAGATGGGTACTAATAATCACTGTTTTAAAAAATATTTAGGTGGTATTAGAGATAATGGTTTTCTGTGGTTAACCTACCTCTCGGAAGAATAGTGGTTATGTAAACAGGTCTCTGAGTTATCTCCTCTCTGAGTACAGTTAACAGTGCATGTCCAGCCTCGTGGGCAGCGGTGTCCAACATTTGGGTGTCTGACACCTCGATATCCTCGTTTATGTGGCCTATCAGCAGACGTGCTCGCGCGAACTCAAAATCGTCCTAAGTTAAATGTGTTATTTAAATAAGTTAAATATTAATTTGGTTCAGTGTTAAAATAATGACATGTTAATCAAGTACAAGTGCTTCTCTGAAAATGTATAGAAATGTAGGCTCGGACGATTTTAATGATCAAAATTTCTCATTCTTAATATAATTATATATCTTCATTGATTATTATTGTAATAATATTGCAATCTTTCACGTGACCCATATTATTGATCACGTGACCACACCTGAGTTATAGCATCCCTGCCCTCTAGCACAGTCCTTAAAGCAGCAGTATTAGCCAGGGTAGCCAGCTGAGCCCCGGTCATCTGAGTACACGCCGTGGCGATATTTTCAAGATCCACATCCTCCGCTAGAACTTTGTTTCTGGTGTGAACCTTCAGTATCTCCAGCCGTCCCTGAGCAAGGGGAGGCGTTAGAAATAACGGTTGTATATATTAGTAAAGATGCGGTGATGTTAACATTACTCTTCCAGAGGTGTAACAAATAAGTTGAGTCATTATAATAGTTGGAGTAACGTCATGTCTCGTGGTGTCATTATTTTTGTTTATCGTAGCTTTATGAACGTATAAATTTATGAACGTATGATTTTTGGTAATTAAATTATTAATCTATTTTAGGAGAAAAGTGAGGGAAAGATGATAGTTTGGCCAGTAATACTTGTATAAGTCGCCAATGCACAATCTAAAGTTTGTGGACCTCAGTTAAGCCTTTCACTTGTTAATATCATATAACCTGATAATATGACGTCACTGTACAGTGTACGTGATATGTTGTAACCATGAACTAACCTTGATTGGGGGCACCCTGATTGATATCTTGGTATCAAAACGTCCCTCCCTGGTCAGCGCACTGTCCAATGTGTCCGGCTCGTTAGTAGCTGCTATTACTATAACCCCGTTATTATTCTCAAAACCTGAGGAGAGTTGTAACTGAGTTCTCAAAATCTGGCCGGGGGAAATAAAGTGAGTGCATACACTGTCCTTCACTCAGCGTGAAAATCATTTTTTCTCAGAATTCTCAAGTATGTATGTAGGTGGGGGGGGGGGGGGGGGGGTTTCTATACACTTTTATTAAAAAGAGCAAAAAGAAGTGTCATGTGTTTGTAGGAGTCAACTCACCATCCATACAAGACAGCATCTGATTGAGAGTGCCCCGATTTGAATAGCCTAGATCGTTAATCTTTCGTTTTTGACCTGCGATGAAGGGATTACTTAGTCAAAATTAATGCGCCATAAAAAATGGAAAACTGACTGCTTATGCTTTTTTATATCTTCTTTAGGAATAATGTAGACAGTAAATAATTTGAAAATGGCAGGCTGGAGTAACTCCTTTTTTAAAGGTACCAAACATACCGATAGAATCAATCTCATCTATGAAGATGATGGAAGGGGCGTTGGCTTGAGCCTGCTCGAACATTTTCCTAACTCTTCCAGCTCCAACCCCGACAAATATCTCCTCAAACCCTGAACCTGTAAAAATAATATCTCGTTATCTTGCTTTGAAACATTTTGTGATTTTACATGTATAAGGGACGAATATAATTTTAAATTATAAAAATATTCTTGTTTAAAAACAAGAATATTGGAATAGCGATATATTTATATATAATATAATCATCATGATGAAAATTGTAAAACAAAGCTATTTGAAATTGATTAATTAATTAATTATTTAATTACCGGAGGAGTAGTAGAAAGGAACACCGGCTTCACCAGCCAGTGCTTTAGCCATGAGGGTCTTTCCAACACCGGGAGGTCCACAGAGTAAGTATCCTTTAGGGATCTCACATCCCATCTCTGACAGGGTTGTTGCTAATTAGTTGCTAATGAGTGCTGATGAATATAAATGATGGGGCTTCCGGTGAAGGTAGGTTTTTGTAAATTTGTAATTACATATCTAGATACTACTTCTTTTAATTTTATAGATGTTTATCTCAATTTTAATTGTTAAGAGTGGAAACTTACTCACTTACTAGCATAATATGATAAAATGAAAGTAAGAACGATCACTAAATAATAACCACAGATAGAAGGATTTTAACTGACCAATATATTTAGCAGGGTTAGTGAGATAACCGACAAGTTCCTGCATTTCTTGTAAAGCGTGTTCGTTACCAGCAACGTCCTCAAACGTCAAGTCGGGCGTCATTACCTGTCACGTGACAACGATTTAGAGATTTTATTGGTAGCTGCTGGAAGCTGATTGGTTTAACATAGCTCGAAACTAGCGTCCTTCCCAAGAAGGCCCCCCAACCCCAGTTTAACATACCTCGAAACTAGCGTCCTCCCCAAGAAGGCCCCCTAACCCCCGTTTAACATAACTCGAAACTAGCGTCCTTCCCAAGAAGGCCCCCCAACCCCAGTTTAACATACCTCAAAACTAGCGTCCTCTCCAAGAAGGCCCCCCAATCCTCCGGCACCACTCTTGCTGCCGGCTGACTTCACAGAGTTGTATATAAGGTACAACATGACGCAGGTGAAGAGGGTTAGACATATTCTTCCGAACGCGTCTGCTATCAGTTGGAGGTTTCTGGTGGCGTTCCTCAGCTCTGATGAGTCTTTGCTGGGGGCGAGAATTTGGGTTAACTCGAGTGAAATACCTATAATCGTTGTCAAAAATACAGCAAAGCTCATTGCTGGGACCTTGGCTAGGCTATACAACACATGTGTCATGTACACAAAGTGGTACATTCCCAAGAAAACTGGTTAAGTTATTCCTACTTACAAGAAAGATAATTATAAGGAATGTATTGAAAATTATCGGCATGTATCAATATTACCAGTATTTCAAATACTGGCAATATTGATACATGCATCGATATTGGTTAATATCTGTATTCGTTAATCTTAAACAAATATTTGGATAAATTTCTTTTGTCTTCTGAACTTGGGATCTTTCCTTCATAAGCCCGATTATTAGCTGAGAACTAGTTGCGTCGTTGTTTACAATTACTGAGATTCGGCAGAGAGACTGGTGCCACCCGATAAGCCGCTCAGGCGCTTAGCTTATAATAACATCTATGACATTCAAGTGCATTTTAAAGCAATTTTCCTTTGAGTATGATGATTATAACCAGTTTTATCGTGTTCAGCGTCCTCAAAAACATAGGGTTACATGATTTTCGCTTCGATATTCATTTTTTTGAAAACCTTCTTTTTTCAAATTTCTGGCCCAGCTGCCTGCTGGGTTTCAGAAGGTGATACCTGATCAATATGCAACAATAATTGCGCAGCTCCTATTATAATTGGATCCAATTACACGCGATACACTGTATTATTCCACTCCATTATTCCATATAAGGCCTGATCAAATAACTTGAGCTCGAAAGCAAGCTCTGGTGACGTCATAGCCACGTGACCTCAGGTTCGTAATCACGTGACCTTAGACCCAATCAATTGGCCTGGTCAGCCACTTGTCACCCGATCTTGAGGTGACGTACGACACCTCGTTGACCCAATCAATGTCTGGAAGGCTGCAAATTTTCACATGCCAAACTCACAAGATTCTTAAAGAGTTGTGCGAGATGAAGATACATAAAGGCCGCAGAATTATGAGGACTACCAGATCCTGGTGCAACCTAAGCGATCCATGATATCACGACTTGCCCTACAGTATTTGGAAGAAAACAAAATCATTTACAAATGGCTCTATAATTTCTTCACATCTAAACATGTACTGACAGACTCAGAGTTTGGATTTAGAAAATATCATTCTACAACACATGCTCTTCACTGATCTAATGACGCTAGCTAGCAACAAACACTTCCTAGGGCTCTAGGGATATTCATTAACTGAAGCAAACACCCTCGATCACATCATTTTTCTAACTTGAATACCTAAGGTATTGGGGACACAGCGCTTACCTTATGAGAAAGCTATTTGACTATACTAATACTAATATACTAATATACTAATATAAGCAGGATGTTATGTTTAACAGTGTACCATCAGAAATAATAGCTGTGAAATTATGTGTACCGGGGGGGGGGGGGGGGGGGGGGGGGCCAATGGCATAAAATGGCATAAAATGGCATAAAATGGAGACTTTTTCTATGGAGAAAATGGAAAAACCCAGGAGTAATTCTCCATTTTCTCCATTTTATGCCATGAATTTTGTCTTCGAAATTTCATCTTTAACACCATTTAACACCTAAATTGGACATCCTAACATGTTTATTTACGCTTACTAGGGGCGTAACAAGCTTATGAAAGCTCATAGTAGGCTACTAGATGCTTATACTAGGTTAGTAGAGGCACACTTCAGGCAAACTCATAATTACTCAAGCCTAGTGTAAAGTTATTTCTACAGGCTACAGCAGGAGTGAGTAATAGGGGAGAGTAATAGGCACTGAGAAGTGAGACCTACATCCTCGACAGTCGAAACAAGCTCGCACTGCAAAGGGGAGGCCTGCCTTCCGAGATCGCATTACCAGGGGGAAGCCTCGAGTCCAAATTTGTGTATCGAGGGGTAGGTGCAGACTTCGATAAACCGAAAAACCAAAAAAATATTTTCGGCTTATAACATATAATGAAGAGGGTAGCATGAAACGTGGAGAAAAGGGGTTTTTAGAAAAACTTTGAAAAATTTTGACTTAGAAAATTTTCGGCCCGAGTCATTCTCGATACGTACCTCTCGTATCGAGAGCTCCCGATTCCGAGCTCGTGTTGCAAAGGGGAGGCCTGCCTTCCGAGATCGCATTACCAGGGGGAAGCCTCGAGTCCAAAATTGTGTACCGAGGGGTAATTTCTAAGTCAAAATTTTTCAAAGTTTTTCTGAAAAACACTTTTCTCCACGTTTCATGCTACCTTGTTCATTTTAAGCCGAAAATATTTTTTCGGTCAAAATTTTTCAAATATTTTCTGAAAACCGCTATTCTCCACGTTTCATGCTACTCTGTTCATTATTTGCCGAAAATTTTTTTTCGGTTTTTCGAAGTCCACACCTTCCCCTCGATACACAATTTTGGACTCGAGGTAATGCGATCTCGGAAGGCAGGCCTCCCCTTTGCAACACGAGCTCGGAATCGGGAGCTCTCGATACGGGAGGTACGTATCGTAAATGACTCGGACCGAACATTTTCTAAGTCAACATTTTTCAAAGTTTTTCTGAAAACCACTGTTCTCCATGTTTCATGATACTCTGTTCATTATTGGCCGAAAATATCTTTTTTTTAAATAATTTTTCTCGAAATTCTAAATTTTTCAGGTTTTCAATGGCATAAAATGGCATAAAATGGCATAAAATGGAGACTATTTCTATGGAGAAAATGGAAAAACCTATGAGTAATTCTCCATTTTCTCCATTTATGCCATTGGCCCCCCCCCCCCCCCTGTGTACCGCAAAGGTCAATTCTAGGGCCATTAACCTTCACAGATCTTAGCTTACTGGGCGTCGCTCAGCCTGTCATTCTGCCATATCTTCATTCGTGTTTTAAATGAACACTGAAGTCTGAGATCCCCAGGTAAATCTCAGAATCAGACTAACAATAGTAGGTGAAGTTCACTATTGTTAGTCTGGTGGCTGGTGCTAAGATCTTTATAACTTTGAGGCAAGTGAAACCTGTATTTCATTTGCATGATAACCATAAAGATACAGTTTGTCGTCCCCGTTGGTGTCTATAAACTACTAAATGCCTTAAACGGTCTGCTTTAATCGTCATGGAAGGTCACAGATCAATGGCTCAGATCCTGCTCCTGGATCAATGGACTGTTCCGAATACAATACAAACATCTGGACTCTCTCTCTCCAAACTTACAAACTACTTAATCTAGGCTTGCTGTGGTCTTCGTTGGTTTCACAAATTTATGCGATCTTCAGTCTCACAACATAGGTGGTTTCAAACAAAATGCTTCGTCTCAGGCTTTCTATACTTTTCTAAAACGCTTGTAGGCCGGAAGTCTTGGAAAAACAATTGCGTGACCTGACAGCATGAGAAACTCACCATATTTAATAATATTTATTCAATTACATTAATTCCTAAAAATAAACTTGTGATCTAAAAGCTTCCGAACGTGAATATATACCTCCGTGCTGTATATATCTATATCCACCCGGAGGGCTAAAACCCATGTGTGGATATTTTATGTTAATAAATCCCGGATTTTAAACCTGCCTCTGAATATAATGAGACCTGTACATGAACGAGACCTTTTGATAACCCGGCACCCACTTGATGAATCTAGATCAATATTCATCAATGGTAATGCTATTTCTAAAGTCAAGGATACCAAATTATTAGGTATTGTTATAGATATCAAGCTTACCTGGGCTGCCAAGTGTAAGTCCTGAAAATCACTGAAAAGAACGTACACTGGGCATACAAAAGACAGAACCTAGGGGAGGGTACAACTGTTTGGTGGGCCAAGTAGGACCAAAGCCTCACAACTAAATAATTCAACATATAATGAGGAATGTTCCATAACCATACCCAGTGTCATAGGTTAGGGTTTAGGAATATTTGAATAATTTTACAATTTATTACAGTTGTATGGGATCATGGAGCAGTTGCCCCTCACTCTTTAATATTGAGAGCTGGCTTTGGTCGTAGAACAATGGCTCAGATCCTGCTCCTGGATCAATGGTCTGTTCCGAATACAATACAAACATCTAGACTCTCTCTCTCTAACTACTAAATCCAAGTTTGCTGTGGTCTTCGTTGGTTTCACGATTTTAAACTTGGTTTGTTGCTTATTAATTTGCCTGGGTGTTAAGGACTTGGAAGTTGGATATGAAAGGAAAGGTTTGGTAAGACCTCCATATTGTAATCTCCGTTCTCACAATATAATTGCCTCACAATTCTGGCACGTACCCGGTAACTTTCGTAATAATTAAACTTAAGATTGAAGGATTAGTTCGATATTAAAATCTTTTTGAAGCCAGTAAAAAAATAATTCCTGCTATTTTAGAGAGACTCCCAGGATCCTTGTAGATATTGTATTCACTCCATTCCGATTTCTACACATTTCATTACTTCATTATAACTAATAACTATGCAATGGCTCTAGTTTAACTACAATTAATTCAGTATAAGGTGTAGACTACTAGATCTCTCCAACTTAACTTAAATAATACCAATTCAGTGCGAGGTTTAACTTTATGCTAATTAGTTTTCATTATTTATATCTATTCATTCTCTCTTACTTTACTTAACTATAACAAATTTAGTACGAGGTTTATGTTGTTAGTGTTGCTGATTCTTTGGACCTGGACGTATTCAAAAGGTCAGAGTAGTACAGCTTCTAGCGCAACTGTCATTAACAAGTATACAACAAAATATTCTCCACCACCTCAACCGTCTAATGGGTCTGAATTCCAAGGTAAATTTTTAAAATGCCAAAGGTTGGTGAATCTCTCAAATTTGGCGATTTTTCAAACGCAAGCTGTTGATTTTTATGAAAATACACCACTTTTATATTGAGAATAGGTTATCACAACAATCTGTTGTTTCAATCAAAACTATTAAAATTTGAGGGAATGTTCTCCATTTGAATTCTTGGCATTTATCATAATCCTACATTTATCTTAACTAAATAAAGGCATGAATCGTCAAGACCAAATATCTCACAGAGTGCAGTTTAAAAGAAGAACGAGGATTCCTGAAATATGTATGTAAATATGATGAATATAATATGCATTCCATCTACAAGTGCCACAACTCAGAAGAATTCTACTTGACTTATCTTTATTACGGCCACAATGTTTTAGTCAACAAAGCATTAGGTTTGTGCTCAAAAGATGAGCACTTTTACCAAGTCTGCGGCACGACGACAATGGGCAAGATAACAAATGAAGAGACTCTATGTGGAAGCTACATCTGTGAATTGGAGTCAGGGAGGATGTTGTCAACCTTTCAAATGAAAGAGAAAGGTCTTCACTGCAACAGACAACAGGATTGTGTGAATACCTTTTTAGATGAGTCAGGGTGTTCAGATGAAGATTATTCAATGAAATGGATACCCTGCAGAGTGGAAAAAGATTATTATCCAAGGATGTCTGCGATGGAGTGTGCAAGTATTGGGACTGCGAGGATGAGGCTGTCTGTGGAGGATACCACTACGGTGTTAGCTGCAACTACTACGGACAAGGGAATTTTCACTTTCCAGCTAGCTTTATATGTGATGGTTATAAGTTTTGCAAAGGTGGAGAAGACGAAGAGAACTGTGCTGTTACCAACGAGACACAGTACACTTGTGAACATTCACGAGGGGGAATAGTTCCTGTTCTAAATATAACACGATGTCATCAGATGGAGTATGCTTTAGGAAAGGAAGACGACGACGAAAATTTATTATATTGCAAGAATTATGCGCCATATCAGACAAACTGCTCTGATACCGCCAAGGTTGGAAGATATTGTCTTATGAACGGATACATGTCCTCTTTTTCCAAATTTATGATATGTCGGGGAGAAAAGGCGTGCGACGATAATATCGAGAACCAGTGTCTTAGCACCTCTACCTCCTGCTCCATTCACAAGCACTCACTGTGTGATGGTAAACAGGATTGTAACGACAAGAGCGACGAAACAAATCTTGATTGCACCTCCAAGACAGAACAAAAGTGTAAAAGACGGATCGGAAAGGCAGAGGAATTACCAATACCCCTGTCCTGGCTGAAAGACGGAGTAGTGGATTGCATAAGCGGCGCAGATGAAAAAGACAATTGGCCCACCTGTGGGTTCCAACAATCGTTAAGATTTGTTACCAGCAATGACAAAATATGTGAAAACGTTTACCTTTGCCTATGGGGCGAGCCTGGATACGTGGAGTTCGGTCAACTCTGTGATGGAGTTGAAACTTGTGGGAACGAGAACAAAATTTGCTCCGAGTCTAGTAGTTCACCAAAACCTTCCACAACTGTTCTCACAACCGACAGAACCTTGACGAAGCATCTTTCACACTGCATAAAGGGGATCAAGAACACTCAAAACTTCAATGACACTTGCAAAACAGATGCCTCTTTCATCTTTCCGAAGCATCACTTTTTTGGAGTGGAAAGCAGAACTACAGTGATCCTTCCAAAAAAAACTCAAACTTGTGACCACATGTTTGGAGAGCTGTATGTGTACACTAGTTGTACCGGTGAGTGTACCGACTCTACTTGTCCATTGAGAAATATTCCCAGATATGAAGTTTGTCCAGGACAATATCGCAACAGAATTGGCACCATAGCCAACAATAAATACCTGGCCTTTTTTACAAAGTCATTTGGTAGTATCTATACCAACAGATACTTTGTCTGTGATAACAAAGTAAAGTGCATCGACTTCTCAAAAGTATGCAACCTTGTTGATGATTGTGGGGATGGTTCTGATGAGGAAAGCTGCTCTAATCATTTTAAATGCAAAGAAAGTGGACTTTACATACCAAAGACTAGCAAATGTGATGGGTCATACGACTGTATGGATTTATCTGACGAATGTAACGCTCAGTGCTCTACAAAGATTCTTGAGGGCACAGTGTTAAAAGTTCTCTCCTGGGTGATTGGGTTTCTAGCTATCGTTGCAAACTTAGTCATCCTTGTCAAAAATGCAGGACCCCTAAAGAAATGTAAACCACAGTGGCTCTGTTGAATAGATCTCTCATCATGATTATATCTTTAGGAGATCTTTTAGTAGGTGGATATCTATTTTGCATCTCAATCTACGATGGAATAATCTTTAAAGAAGATTACTGTACTCAGCAGATCAGTTGGATTACAAGCACCAACTGTTCAGTAATTGGTGTCCTCAGCACCATAGGCTCCAAATATCTCTATTTGCAATGTGTGCATTGAGCCTCACCAGAATTTATGGAATATACATTCCATGAGTATACCAGGAGAAGCAACGTGGAAGAAATCGCTGCAAGTTGTAGCAGGTTTGCTTATGATGACCCTAGCATCCATCACCATTGCTGTTATCCCAATCATTAGCAGATTTGAAGATTTATTCGTCAATGGGGTAAAATACGCAGACCAACTCAAGGTTTTGATTGGAACACCGAATAAGCAGAGGCTGCTTGCCATCTTTCGAGCATATTTGGCAGAATGAAGCACACAACACTCGATTGGAAATTGATAAACGAAATGATGTCTGAGATGTATTCTCATGATGATGGTTATGAGGACCATACGACAAAGATTTCAAAAGTTGACTTTTATGGGAACGACGGGGTCTGCCTATTTAAGTATTTTGTCAAAGCAGAAGATCCTCAGAGGAATTTTGTATGGACAATCCTTGCTTTGAACTTTGTGTGCTTCATTCTCATTACAGTGTCGTATTTGGTAATAGGCATTATTTCTTACAGATCATCCAAAAGTTTGACAAAGACAGGAGGCAACGAACAAATTTCACGGCGGAATAGAAAAATGAACATGAGAATCACAATCATCATCACTACAGATTTTCTTTGCTGGATTCCATTCATAGTGATCTGTGTATTGCATTCCTTTGATGTTCTTGATGCAACACCCTGGTACAGCTTGTTCTCCATGATCATCCTCCCGATAAACTCTGTAATCAATCCATTGATCTACGATGATACTGTGACACACCTCCTCAGCCTTCCTGTTCAGAGATTTAGAAACGCCACGGCCAACTCAAGAACAATTAGAGTCTTCAGAGAAAGAATAAGAAGACCAAGACCACGTGAAACTATGGAGCTGGATGGTGTAGTGGTACAAGGAGGAGAAATGCCTGCCAGAGCAGAGTTTGCTGGAGAAGGAGACAACGAGAACCAAGTAGGAGATACCAACCTGGAGGTGACTGGAGAAGACGACAACAACAACCAAGTAGGAGATACCAACCTGGAGCCGACTGGAGAAAGAGACAACAAGAACCAAGCAGAAGATATCAACCTGGAGGTGACTGGAGCAGATGACAACAATAACCAAGTAGGAGATATCAACCTTGATCTAGACCTGGCTGAAGAAGGAAACAACAATATCCAAGCAGAAGATATCAACCTGGAGGTGACTGGAGAAGATGAAAACAATAACCAAGTAGGAGATATCAACCTTGATCTAGACCTGGCTGGAGAAGGAAACAACAATAACCAAGCAGAAGATATCAACCTGGAGGTGACTGGAGAAGATGACAACAAGAACCAAGTAGGAGATATCAACCTTGATCTAGACCTGGCTGGAGAAGGAAACAACAATAACCAAGCAGAAGATATCAACCTGGAGGTGACTGGAGAAGATGAAAACAATAACCAAGTAGGAGATACCAACATACAGCTGACTGAAGAAGGAGATAACAAGAAACCAATAAGAGAAATCAACCTCGAACTGACTAGAGAAGGAGACAACAATAACCAAGTAGGAGATATCAACCTTGAGCTGGCTGGAGATGGAGACAACATTAACCAAGTGGGAGAAGAACCAATCTATAACTGGCTGGAGAAGGAGATTACAAGAACCAGGTAGGAGATATCAACCTTGACACGGTAAACGGACCTTAAGTTGTGGGAGCTATGGCTTTGATAAAAAGTACCAAAGATTCTCAACTTTCGTCTCTCAGTGCCTAAAAAGAATTTGAATGACGGTGAATTGGATATGTAATTAGTATCAGAAAGGATCGGCAATCTACAATAATCAACAGAGGGAGTTGGAAAATGTTGGTGCTTAAAATGAACAGAGATAGACAATGAAGTAGATAAATTTTTATGCCCCACTGCAGTTGTTTTTTAGGGAATTTGGGTTTAAAATCCCCGCCCGGTTTTACCCGGTTATAAGCCGGCTTAAAACCCGGCTTTTAGGGTTTTAAAATTTTTTTATACCGGCTATAACCCGGGTTTTTCCCCCGGGGTTAGAAAGGCCGGTTACTTTTTGTTGTTGAACGAGGAAATTAGGGTTTTAAGCCGGCTATTACCCGTTTAGGTATCCGGTATAAGGGATTCGGTGAAAAGGCTTTACCCGGTTAAAAGCCGGCTATTACCCTTTTTAGGTATCAAAAGGGGTTTTTTAATCCCGGGGCTATGGGCCCGGGCCCTAAAAGCGGTTAAAGATAAAAACCCTAATTCATCGTACTAAATTTTTGTCGGGGAGCCGGCATAAAAAATTCAGCGAAAAGGTATTAGGGGTTTAAAAAAGGGGGCTATTAGCTTTTTTAGGTATCGAAAGGGGTTTAAAAACCCCGGTATAAGCCGGTTAAAAAGATTTTAAATTTTAACTTCTTTTATTGAACTGGTTAATTTTTTTTATAACCGGCTTTTAGCCGGCTTAAAACCACTTTCGAAAACCTAAACGGCAAAATGGGGGTTTAAAAACCGGTAATAGCCTTTTTCCCACTAAATTTTTTCTTATACCCGGCCCCTGACATCGTCGGGACGATGTAGTTGATTTAAATATTTAAAAACCGGCTTTAAAAACCCTTTTAATCCCAAAACGGCAAATAGCGGCTTAAAAACCGGTTTAAAGCCGTCGCTAAAACAAAAATGTAAGGGGGTTTAAAACCGCTATAAGCGGTTAAAACCCGGGTTTATAAAAATTTTTACCCGGGCTATAACCCGGCTTATAGGGGTTAGTAGCCGGCTTTTTGGCCGGTCGGTGATCTCCCAACGGGGCCGTTTTTTTTTTTACCTTTATATTTTTTGTAATATATGTTTAAAATATTATTGTAACTGCTTTGGCTAAATTTTATTTATTTCGGTGATAACTGTTTCCCTTTTGTCAATAAAAACCAAAACATTATTCTGGGGTTTGACCCGGTTTATAGGGAAAAGTTTGTTTGGGTTTTAATTCCCAATTTTTCTATGTTTTTGGGGAATTATGGAAATTTAAGTTGAAAGATTTTGATGAAAAAACTTTATGCATTTTCCCATGTTCAGTTGCCCCGGCCCCAAGATTTCTTTCGCTGTTTTTCGAAACTGTGAAACCCAAATTTTTGACGGTTTTTTTTTTTTACTTTCTTACCTTGGGTTCCTTAAAGCCCCTGAAACCCTCGAGCGTCCTAAAAGTAACCCAAATTTGCAAAAAGGGGGAATAAGGAATCTTTTTTCTGAAGGGGAGGTTGTGGGGGTTCTTTTTTAAAAACCCTTATACAAATCATGATCTTTTTATCTAAAAAACATCAAAAAAATAAAAGAATGTTGTCCGTATTTTGGAAAAATACCCCGGGTTTTGGTCCTTTTTTTATACCCACTTCCCCCTAAGATATGCCCCAAAAATTCCCTGCTGTCCGACAAGTAGGAGAAGCAGTTTGCAGCAAATGCAAGGGGCTTTTTTGGGGGTTTGGTTTTAAAAATGCTTTTTTTATCTTGGGTAACGTTTAAATCTAGCGATTTTTTTAAAAAATTTTTCGGGTCTTTTCTGAGTCCCTAAAGAAGAAATGTTCTTGGAATTTTGGGATTCTTAGCATTGCCAAAAAGGTGGTTTTTTTCTTTGTTAAATATGTTTAATTTAAAAATTTTGTTAAAAAAATTTTTTAAATTTTAATCAGCTAAAAAACCAAAACCCCCTTTATATACCGCCCCCGTTTTCCCGGGGCCCCATCCCCTTTCCCCCTTTAAAGGATTTAACGTGCTAATTTTAACCCAAACAAAACCGATTAACGCGGATTTTTCTTTTTCCCCCAAAGTCCGCGGGTTTCGCTAAAACAAATTTAAAAATTCCCTTTTTAGCATTCACCCTTGGGTTTAGGTTTCCCTTTCATACGCCCCTGGTAAAAAAACCCCAATCCCCCAACCCGCCCCCCCTGTGACTGAGCAAAAAACCCCATCTAAAGAATCAAACAACTTTCCCGCACTAAAGGGGCGGGTGAAAAAAAAACCCCCGGCAGTGTGGTCCGTGGGGTGTGGGGAAACCGGAAAAAAGGCAAGTTGGGGGACGTCACGTGGTGTTGTGTGAGTCACGTGGTGTTGTGTTGATGATGTTTTTTTTTAGGGCAGTTGAGGGGGGAAGCGTGGGGTGGAGAAAACCCGTTTTGATTGCGAACTGTTTAAACCCGGGTTTTTTCCCTTTCCCACTAAAAATTTTTAAATTTATAATTATTTTTGTAATTTGGGGTTTTAAAAAGGGTTTTTGGGGGTTTGTGGCCCCCTCATTGGGAATTATTTTTTTTGGGGGGAAAATGTTTCTTTCCCTTTTAATTTTAATTTAAAAAAACGTTTATATGCTTTGTTAGTAGAAAAAGATTGTTTTTTTTATATAAATAAAAAAAAAAGAAGATGGAAAAAAACCCTTGTGACGCATGTTCTTTGTAAATACCCGAAGATCTTATCTTTTGGATTAGGGGAAAGCAGAAAAAAATCGAGATAGTGTTTTTTAAGTCTGGGGGGTTTGGTCCCCTTATTTCCCTTTTAACAATAACAGGGATAAAATTACTGTGAAAAATTTAGGTGCTCAAATAAATTAATTAGAAATAAATACTAATTGTTCCCAAATCAAAATTCCCCCCCTAAAAAAATAAAAATCCCCCCAAAAAATTTACATATTTTTAAATTAAGAAATTTAAAAGTAAAAACTGCCCTGTTTTTAATTTTTGCGCATGTTTTTTAATAGCAGGGGGGTAGTTTAGTCTGTTGCCTTTTCCCGTCGTTAGTTAAACCTCTATTTTGTTTTAAATGAGAATGTCCATTTTATTTAAAAATTCTCCCGCGGTTTAATTTATTGAGGTTTGGAAAGGGGCGGGTCAGAAACTTTTAAAAAGCTTTTGATCCTTTTTTACAAAAATTTTGGGGGGCCCCCCAATTTTAAATTCTAAAATACGTATATTTCGTCCCTGTTTTTTTTGGGGAAATTGTTTTTTTTTCTGCCTCTTGCCCGGGACTTTTGGGAAATGAAGTGGGGTTTAAAAAAATTTGCTCCTGACAGCAGAAAAGGATGATTTGATAGAGTTTTTTAATGGGGGGGAATGTACCTGTTTGGCCAACCCTGTTAGGGGAAGAAAAATACGCTACTTTTTAGATTAA